TGCTGAAAAATTAAGCACAGGCTTACTGGTCAGGTAAGGGGGCTGATCCAATTTCATTCATGTGTTGATGGTCTGTCTTACAAGAGGATGCCAGAAGAATTACACAGTTCAGCTCTTTTTTCAACATTCCAACACAATGCAGCATCAAGAGCTATTCTGTGCAGGATCTTCTCAGTTTCAGTTCATTTTGGACAATGATGACATGCTAAGGCCAATTTTCAACCTCTGGACTTAACAAGGTCATTCAGTCATAGCTCATTACCCATAAGACTAAAACTGAGATCACGGTGGCTACTTCCTATACTCAAGAGTGAATCTGAGACTCCAGGAGTAGGATTGGCATATGCTATCTATGTTCTTGCTATAAAATTTGGTCCATAATGTAAGGGCATTTCTTCTTCATGTGAAGTGCTTAGAAATCCTACAAATAGGGTCCTGTTGAATTCATAGTGGAAGTAGGGTGTGCAGTGGCTTCTTTAATCATGCATGCTCCCCCTCCCCACCCCCCCTCCACCCCGGCCGCTCCCTCCTAATCATCAGGGAAGCTAAAACTGCAGTTTTAAACATAGAGCTGTTTTTGCCTCCCCGCCAGTCAGCAGCAAACAGCAGAGCCATCTGGGACCCCTCAACCAATCAGTAGTGGGAGGCAAAAATGATGCCATATTTAAAACCACATTTTTCATCTCCCTGCTGATCAGGAGCTAGCCACACATGGGGCCCCTCCACCAATGGGCAGGGGGGGCTCGTGGGGGAACCTGCAAGATTAAAGGAGCTACAGCACACCCCACTTCCAGCATGACTTCGGTAGGTCCCTACCTACAAGTTATGAGGTGAAAACATAACCCCTACTTGTCTAGTCCAGGTCTGTCCAACTTCTAAGGTGTTGGTGCTGCCCACCCAGTGTCTGGCCTCCAGCAAGAGCTGAACTAGCACAAGCCATGGGCCCTTCCCTGCTGTACTCTGAACATGTGTGGCTCTCACAGGTGACTGGCAAGGGGGCCATATCCCCCCCCCCGAGCTTTCCCCCGACTCGGCACCACTCAGGCTGAGGCAGTTTTTTTGCCACATGGGCCGGTGGCGTGGGGGGGGCACTAAGCCATGGCATAGAAGTATAGGACTGGATGTGAGGCTTTTGGCCCACCCACAAATTGTGCCCCCTCCCCCAACTCAGGAGGCACCAGTCACCCCGGTGGCTCCCCTCCTCCACTGCACCAAATGCATGGCCCCCCTCAGCTCTCCACCTGGAGACTCCCCTGACACTCAAACTGCACCATTGTACCCCTGCCCTGTCCCCCAGAGCAGGCACAGGAAAGCTTAGAGGAGGGAGGAGAAGCTGGCAGACTCCAGCTGAAGCAGGAGTGATCAGGGGAGCAATGGCTAGATGGGAGCCCAGAGCCACAGATTTGACCCTTCATGGTTTGCATACAGCCCACAGGCCACTAGTCGGACAACTCTGAAAGGGTCCATCAGCCAGAGACCCCTGAAATAAATAGGATTCTAGAATTCTCTATTGTGTCATGGAGTGGAAGCCAGAAAAGACCAGGGTGATTGTCCCATCCAACTCTGTGTTTTGTGGGATGATTCACAAACTCATGCCTGTTAATGGGATTAGAACTGCCAAACTGTAATTTGGGGAGATTTCACTGCATTTTACCAGAGGATGACAAAAATTTCCTAGGGGTATCAGAATATACCAAATGTCCTGGCTGTACAAATCTTTCTTAAGTACTATGCATGATGCTCTTGAGGCTGCTGCTGAAATTTAAACTCTGCCCACTGTTCCTACGAGCACACTCCAAACCTGGTAATATGATATTGCTCAGGTGATGATGCTTCCCATCCAATCACAAAATCTGTTTGTGTGTTTGCTATGATGAGTGATGATAATGAACTATTGCTGAAATTTAATTTGAAATAAAGTATCAAACCCAACATAATGGGATGGGTAGCATTCTGCAAAGTTATTGCTGTTCTATGTTACATTCTGTCCATGTTAATGCACATGTCTTTATTCTCTTCTCTGGCTCCAACTAGTAGTTATTTTGCTGTTGAGCTAGATGCAAGATTGACTTCTTACAGCATACTTGAATGAAACAACTTATTTCATGCCTGATTGTCAGTATTTTTGGTGTTGCTGTATGTTGACAGGAGAACTCCTTCCTTCAAAGTCAAACCAGAGAAAGCATCCACAGACACTCACAGAGAGCTGCAGAGAGATACCCAAGGGTTTATAACAATGTAAACCTCCAACTCTACCTATTATCCAACAGATGCTGGTAATAAAGAATTGCTTCCATTTGCATGCAAAAGAAAGTCCTTAACTTGAGAAAACAATGCTTAAAAATATAGGAGGAATACAATGACATGTGCCACAGTACTCATGCCATGTCCTTCTGCATTATCTCTCAATCCAACACTTTTTTTTTTCACTTTCTCTGGGAATTTCTTGGTACATTTTGATTTAATCCCCTTCCCAGAAACGCATTTTAGTTTCTTATTGTATTTTTTACAAACTATAAATCTGCTGGTGTTCTCTGTTTACTCCTGCTGTACTTTTCTGATTATTAGGACTATGAAATACAAGGATAAATGGATAGAGAGGAGAAGGTGGTAGTATCTCCATGGCACAAAAGGGAAACTGAGGCACAGAAAGATTAAGTGACACTTAACTTTTGTGTCTTATTACTGTGCATTATTCAAATCAAGACTGTCCAGGCTCCCCCATCACTGTAGGTTTTTCCAGGCTGCTCTGTCCCATGGAAAAGCCTGCAGAGCAGGATCATGGAACAGAAGCCAAATAAGGGTGGGGGAGCCCAGAGCCCCCAGCTGCTACTGCAGCTGAAGCAATGGGGGAGAGTGGGGGCTAGGTTGGAGCCCAAGAGCTACAAACTAATGCATGTGGCCTGCAGGATGCCAGTTGGACAACCTGGTTTAACTCAGTGGGGGCCAGATTTTTTGGGAAGCATGCCCCAAATTGTCCTGAACCCTCCCTGAGTGCCAGTCCAATCCGTTTCCCCTGTCTAGTCGACTACTCTATTTTCTGCTTCCTGCCCTATCAGTGCTGCCTGTCTCCTGCCTGATCTGCTACATGGGATGCACAGAGGTTGCCCGTGTCCCTTGTGATGTGTGCTAAAGTTTGGCCACCCTTGTTTTAGAAAGTCACATGAAGAGGCAGCTTAGGCACCTCAGGTTCAGCTGTGAATCACGGTTTCACTTAGGCACCTAGCTCAAGGTTGCTGTGTTTCCTCAGGAAAGATGGTTGTACTTCGGTAATAGATGAAACACTAATATAATGCTATGGGGTCCTTCTGTACTCTAAACATGAATGAGGACCTACCCATATTATTCCTTAAAGCAGGGCTTGGCAACCTACAACCCATGGGCCAGATCCATTGGATCAGGCCCACAGATGTGGGGCTTTGTTGGCAGGGGGCTTCAGTAACAGGCACTCACCCCATGCTTCAGCACAGACCAGCAGCAGGTGCTCTCCTCATGCCCAAGTGGGGAAAAAAGCCACCTGCCTGCCTCTGATCCAGGGTGAGTCATGCCAGGCCACAGCTGGAAAAGACTGCCTACCCGCACCATAGTTTGTAACCCAGTGACTCTATCCCTGGCCCTTCTACCTAACACTCTTCCCCACTCCTGCAGCTATTACAGAGGTCTTCCTTGCCCTAATAAAGGACCGACAGAAACTCTGAGTCAAACAGAAGATGCTTATATAGCTGGGGAAAGAACAAAGTTAATTGATAGTACTAATTGAGTAGGGCAGATAACAGACTACATTTGTAAATGAATTACATCCAACTGCAAATAATTTTGTAGGGACTGATTACCAGGACTTGAAATTTTAAACTGACATAACAAATGGACCCAAGGGAAGGAGATGTCTCCTACTCAGAGGTCTCCATATAATAATTACAGATAGATCCATGGATGTATCAATATGAGCAACATTTACAGGGTCTCTGCAGTCTTTAATTTTTACATATTAAAATCCTATTTTATATTATAGCTGTTCCAGTACTCTGTAAAGCAGATTATCCTCATAACTACATATATTCAATTTTGGCCTCACCAGTCATATTTAGTGGTATCTTGAGCCATCATTAATCAATCATTGGCTATCATTGTAAAAACTGGGGAAGAGCAGGAGCTCAGGAATACAATCCAGGTGTCTTCACTCTCCCTCAAAAAATTAAGAAACAGGGTTGAATGTACATTAACAAAAGTCTAATGGAAAACTGGACTGATTAGAAAACATATTAGGATTTGAAGGATAAGAGTTGGAATAGACATCTCTAATAACATACTATCTGCATTAAGTCCCTTGTTCTCATTATAGCATTGACTTTTCTCACAGTTCTTAAATTTCTACAGCTGAAAAGTTTGCCAAATGTGTAAATTACTGATTTTTGTCATGTGTTCCACATTGCTTCAGCAAAGCTGCCATGTGGTACTGCATCAATGCCTTAAAAAGCATGCAATTCACTTTAGAGTGGATGGTGCTACACAGGGAAGTCTTTCTCTTCTGTGGCATGGTTAATAGAAGTAAAAAGTACTGCTGCCTCAGCTAATGGCACAGGCTTGAGTTTTGCCTTTGGAAATGTTGTAGGGCTGTACAAAGCTTTGGTAGCTGATTTGATTTAGAGGAGATTTGGCCTGATTCAGGAACCGAATCTCCAAATCCAAATCAAATTGGGAGACCAAGTAAATGCTCCGAATCTATTTGAAGCATCCAAATCAATTAGGAAAAACTTCGGAAAAAGATTCAGCTGATTCAGAGATTTGGCTGGTAAGCCTGTTAGGGATGAGGGAGTGGGGAGGGAGGGGTGTTGGGGAGGGAGGGATTGTTGCTGGAGCTGGGGCTGGGACAAGCTGCCCAGCCAGGATGGTGGGCAGTGTTACTTGGGGAGAGGGGCAGGGGAGGTACAGGATGCAGGTGCGGCAGCACTGGGAGTGGGGGCTATGCCCTGCTGCTGCTTGCCTAGCCAAGGCGGGATGCATGTGCAGCTTGTTCCAGGCAGAATGGAGCAAGCAGCAGCAGAGCATAGCCCCCACTCCCAGCACTGCCACACCCACATCCCACACTCCCTGCACCAGCTGACAAACGGCAGCAGGGCAGAGCCCCTGCTCCCAGTGCTGATGTGGGCATGGCAGTGCTGGGAGTGGGGGCTATGCCCTGCTGCCATCCACAGCGAGCCATACCTGCATCACACCCGCCCTCCTCCCACACTGGCTGGGCAAGCAGCAGCAGGGCATAGCCCCCGCAGCTCCCCACACTGGGGCAGAGACAGGCACAGTGGGAGGAGATGTGGGAGAAGCCCCCACGGCTGGCCCCCCCCTCCCCAGCCCCGTCCCCCAAACTCACCAGCTGCAGCAGCGGTGATCAGGGCCTCTGAGGGCTCATGGCAGAGCCCCCCTGTGCAGTGTGGGGCAGTGGGGTTTGCCCCCCCCACCTGGCACCCACGTGACAACTGGCCCATGGCATGGGTACAGCACAGCTCAGCAGGGCACTGCACACTGTCTGGGAATGGGCCACTGTGGCTGAGTGGTGCTAGGCTCCAGCTGACATGTGGAGCTGCCCCAGCTCCCAGGTGGATCAAACAGGGAGCTGGGAAATTGAGCTGGGGGTTGTGGAATGGAACAGGGAGTTGGGAAATTGAACTGGTTCAATTGCCCAGCTCCACATGCAATTTCTCACCTCCCAGTTCAATTCCCCCAGGAACTGGGGCAGCTCCAGCAGTAAGCTGGACCCCAGCACCACTCAGCCACAGTGACCCCAGCTTCCAGACAGCGCGCAGCACCCTGCTGAGCCATGCTGCAGCTGTGCCATGGGGCAGCTGCTATGCAGTTGCCAAGAGGGGGCAGTGATCCTTGGTGCCCCCCACTTCCCCATGCTGGATGGGGGTGCCTTGCCACCAGTGCCCCCAATTGCCATTCCTGCAGCTGGTGAGTATGGGGCTTTTTAAGTTGCAGGAGGCTGGGCCAGGCATGGGATGGGGCTGGGCAAGGCAGCTATGGGGGCTTCTCCTGCAGTTCCCCATGACCCAGGAGAGGCAGGCACAGCCAGAGGAGCCACGGGAGAACCTGCAGCCACCCGGCTGTGCCTGCCTTTCCCCGGCCGATCCAAATCTCCGAATCACACCGAATCTTTCGAAGCCGATTCGGCCGAATCAAATGGGGACAGTGATTCAAATCCCCAGATCAAATCACTGTCCTCTGAATCAGATGAATCCGAATCGAATACTTCCCTATTTGCACAGGCCTAGAATTTTGCTCCATTTAGGTTCATCAGTGAGCTATATCTCATGAAGAAGCTTCTCAGACTTAGGAGGATAGTATACATATTATATTACTTTCCCTTGTTGTCTGTTAAACAGGTTCTTAGCCCTCTGAACTTCAGGCTTATACATCATAATTTTCACTAGCTATTAGCAATGGGAAGGCATAGGAGAGTTTAGATTTAAAAAGATTTTGGCAGTAATGCTATGAAACTGGTTTGCTCAGTTTCATTGAACCCTTGTGTGAAGCTGAGCCCCTGCTCAGAATTCTGGTGTTCCCCTTCCCAATAGAAAAATAATGCATCACAACTTCTCTTTCAGGATCCAAGTGTGAAGACCATATCATGAAGAAAAAGAGCTCATTGAGTCACTCAACCTCAATTCAATTGGATCCAGAGCTCAACAGGAAGAAAGAGAAGCCAGAGAAAGAAAAGAATGTCTTTAAAAAGTTTTTTACATCGAAGTAAGAGCAGAAAAATAGAAGAGAGCTCTTCAGTATTCTGGATTAGGCATTCTTTTTCTTTTCACAACACCCTTTTGCCTTGAAGTCAGAGATGACTATGAGTAAGATAAATATCTATTGGGAGAAGATAGCGGTCAGGTATTCAGATCAGAAACAATGCTCAGAAGAAAACAGTCAAAATATGAAGAAAGGGAACTTGGGTGATCCATGCATCTGATTCTGCCAGGCCCATAGACAACTTTTCTCTAAACTGTATGTATTTGGTTTGAGAAAGTAATATGAGATCTATACCTTGTCTCCAGTGATGGTCAGTGATGCCAGATTAGATTTTGTGATGATGATAAATGTCTGTAAGGGACCAGCATGGGATATGGCCAAATTCATATCTCTTCACTATAGAAGCAGCAATTTGATCTCCAGTCTTCATAGATGACAACCTGCAGTGCTTACTACACTATTTCCCTGAAAGTATTTGTCTTGTCTTACCATTAAGTTCTGATGTTGTAAAGCAGGTTGTAGCTTGTAAAGTAAACAGTTGTGTCTTAGTATGCTAGCTCAAATACATAAGCTTTGTCTTCAGTGTGAGACCCTGCAAAATCAGAAGATAGGCAGATACAATTCTAGCTGTCCATACCGGGAACAGGCGAAATGAAAAGGAAAAAGGGAAGATTCTTTCCTAACAGAAGTGAACTTCCAAGTGTTGTCGATTCTTACAGAGATTTCCATCAGCCTGCCAAATATAAGCACCTCAAATGCCATAGGAGTTAATAATTATGGTATAAACAGGTTTTTTTCTGTATTTTCATGATCCTTGGTTTCTGATATAAATAATTTTTCAACAATAAAAATGAGGTGTCAGACTGATTTGAAACATAGGAGGTAACTTTTAAACTAAAATGGAAGGCATCAGTGAAAGTGGTGCATGCTTGCAGGAAGGGATGCCTGCAAAACTTATCGGGTAAAGTTAAAACTTCTCAATGAGGGTCTCTGATGCTGTTTCAGAGGAGATGCATTCACCCATTTGTATTGGGCAAACAGGCCATAAGCAGGGGAAGATATATATGTTAGTATTTCATATCATCATATGGTACTTACCACTGTGGGATGAAAGCCCTTAAAAGGGAAAGTATGGTAAGGAAAATGCAAATGTCACTTTGAGCTAAATACAGCACTGTTGCATCTCTAACAAGAATGTTAATACTTCTAAGTTATAAGCACTTGTGCTATGTGCTTTGGTGATAAAACCTGTGGAAGTGCTCTCTCATCCTCATTGTTAATAACTTTAAAATGTTTTCTAATTAAAAATCTCAGAGGTTTTTTAAGTCAATTCACTTTAAACTTCTTGTTAATCCTTTAATATAAAGTTTAATGCAAAATGAGTGCCACAGTTATATTTAAATAAAATCAACCAGTTGTAAACTCATGGGGTATCTTTCAGTTGTCTAAATTCTTAATAGATTTATTACAAAACTGTTTCTATCCTGCCCATTGTTAACTATTTGAAAAGACTTGCATCTCAAGGGATGATAAGGTCCATAACCTTAAGATTCTATCATAAACCTGAACAAAATGTTTAAGATTAGAGTGCAAAAAACTAGATACAGAATGTAAAGTTGGAATGACAGTATGCAAAGTGGGAACATCTTTATGAAAGATGCTTTCAGAGGACATATTGCAAAAGGCAATTTAGGTCAAGGTCACAGAG